GAGTCCTGCGTTGGGCTCTTTGCTGACAGCTCAGAGCCTGGAGCCTGTTTCAGATTCTGTGTCTCCCTCTCTGTCTCTCTGCCCGTCCACAGCTTGCTCTCTCTCTCTCTCTCTCTCTCTCAAAAATAAATAGAAACATTAAAAAATTAAAAACAACAACAACCAACTCATGACAAAAGACATAAAGTTGCTCCTTTTCTAATCAACATTCAGCTCCAATGCAAGTTCAAATACACGCTCGAGAAAGTTCTAGAATTCTCGGCGAACAAGAGAAAAGCAGGTCCTCCTCCAGGATAAATCCTACCATGGTGCAAATAGACCCCAGCAGGTCCAAAGGAGATGCCCATCTTCTTAATATTCAGCCCCACGTATCCCAAACCTGGAGGGTCCCATGCTGCCTCCTGGGGGCACCAGTGTTCATAGCTGGGAAAGTGACTCAGAAAGCAGGGGAAGCCCCACGTTCACCAGGGCAGATGCACTACTGACCTTTTCAGTTTATCCCCCTTCCCTCTTCCATCCCCAAACAAGGAAGAGAAGTCAGAGGGACACATCGCTACTTTCCAACATGGCGGGATCCTTTCTCACTATGCTCAAGATACACAGTGGGGATTCCCATGGGTGACACTTGTGCACGGTTTCCTCCTGCTCCGGTCCGCGTTACTCCGTGAGTGAGCAACCCCTTATTGGAACCAATCGTGCTCCAGTGACCTTGACTCCTCCTGTGTGACCTTGTAAGATGCCTGGTCGAGTCAATGCCTGTCGAAAGCAAAAATAGCACGGTGGACGCATCTGTCGCTTTACGGATATTCCCTTTTATTCAAAGCGTGGGAAGGTCTCCACCAGAGTTCACCCCATTTGGGAAGTCGCGCCCGATACATTTCTTTACCGTCATGTTTAATAACTGTATCGAAGCCTGTGATATATTTATGTTACTTGCATCAATTTGACCGCACTGACCACAGACTCAGAAGAAGCTTTATAGCGCAGAGGGTCCGGCGGACAGGAAGTGAAACATGTTTCCATTTCAACGCGCGTACCTATCTTTGTGGTCCTGACTGGGATGGGGTCATAGAGCAAAGACTTTCAAACCCGGCTCTATAAGACTCTAGGCTCAGAGTCTGCAAAACACTGATAACAGACTGGCAGTTTGAGGAGAGAGGGGAAAACAAAACAATGTAACATTGCACGATCTTTAACAAGAGTTCCTTCGCGGGTTGGTTAAATGCATGACACGGTACATGAAGAGGACACCATTCGTGTGCCTTCGAAGGGGTCGCCTGGCATTTGCATTTCTAAACAGCAATGTGCACGGTGTGTCCGACATTGTTTGCGTCTTTCAAATGTAAGATATTAGCTACAGTAGTAAATTCTTTTAGAGTCCACAGAGAAAGTCATGTGTGCTAGCATTGGGGGAGGGGTCTGTGACAAAGAAACGGCACACAGGTGGCTTAAAACAACAGAAATCATGCTCTGCCAGCTCTGGAGACCAGAACTTTGAGATCCAGGCAGGGCAGGGCTGCTGAGATCCAGGGGGGGCAGGACCACTGAGAACCAGGCAGGGCAGGGCCGCTGAGAGCCAGGCAGGGCAGGGCCGCTGAGATCCAGGCAGGGCAGGGCCGCTGAGATCCAGGCAGGGCAGGGCCGCTGAGACCCAGGCAGGGGAGGGTCGTGCTCCCTCAGAGGCTCCAGGGGAGGCTCCTTCCTGCCTCTTCCAGCTTCTGGGGCTCCAGGCGCCCCTGGGCTCGTGGCCGCGTCCCTCCCGTCTCTTCCTCCGCCTTCACGAGGCTTCTCCTCTGTGTCTCTGTCTCCTCTTGTGTCTCTTGCAAGGACCCCTGGCATCGGATTCAGGGCCCCCCTCCTCCAGGAGGAGCTCACCTCAGATCCTTCCCTCACGCACATCTGCAAAGACCCAATTCCCAAATAAAGCGTCCTCCTCAGGTGCCGGGGGTGACGATGTGGACCGATCCTTTTGGGGTCACGTTTCCACCCCCAGCCCCGTTGGAGGCCACGAATCAGGGCTCGGCGGATGGCGGTGGTGAGCGTGGCCCCGTTCCCGTAGGGCCAGGTGGGGAGAGGGCGCGTGTGGGGGAAACAGGCCGGGCCCCCGAAGGTGCGGAGAAAGAGGAACCAGTCCCCGCGGGGGCCAGTCCCTGTCTGATTGTCACCACGTTAGCAGTGGGGGAGGGCGGGAGGCAGAGCAGCCCCGAACAAGGGTGATAAGTCTGTTCTCTCGGCAGTCTACACTCGCTGACTTCCCTCCACCCATAGCAAGCCTGGCAATGGCTGTGGGTCCAAAGGTAGAAGTCCGAGCCCAACAGACACACGGGGGCCTGCGAGGGTCCGCGGGGTCCGTCCCGAGGACCCTACAAATGTGTCCCCGGTCTGACATTTCCTCCTGCAGTCCGGTCCCGGGAATCACCCCAGCCCCTGCGGCCGCTTAAAAGGCCAGGGTTGAAATTCCCCACGTCCCTCAGGACAGAACTGAGATGCTTTCTCACCGCCACGCTGGGCAGGCTTCACTTCCCTCCTGCTGGGTGTCTGTCCCCCGACACCCCACCCCCGCGGGCGACCGGCTGGGCTCGGCTCCGGGCCCCTCCCGGGTTGGCCCTGAGATTCCCTTCTCCCGGGAAGCCCCTGGGGGCCCACTCCCTGGGCAGGCTGCTGGCCGCCCAGACTGCCCCGACTCGGTGCGGGGGGGCGTGTGGAGCAAAGGGGCACCCAGGCCGAGGGTGCCCTGGGCGCCCGGGGGGTTCCCTGACCCCTTCTGCCGATGGCACAGTGGCCCCCGTGCCCCCTCGGAGTCCGGCGGTCTCGGGGACTCCAACTTGCTTCCGAACTTTAAAAAGCACCCGTAAATGGCCCTCAGGTCCTTTCCCTCCTGCCTGGGACCGGCATCACGCGGGGCCGCGGGCCTCCCCGGGATTCGCGTCCACCTGTAGGGCCACGCTGGGCAGAGGAGACCCCCTCGGGCGTGCACAGCGTCCCGTCTTCAGCCTGTGCGCAGCCACCCCATCGACCTCGCGATGCACACGCAGAGGCCCCGGTGCCCCCGCGACCCAGGGGCGGCGCGCGGCAGCCTTACTGTGCCATGTGGCTTTTATTTTTTGTGGTGAGGACGGTTCCCACGAGACCTGCCTTCTAAGCACATTCGTAGGGGCACGATCATGTCCCGCCGTCTGTAAGCACGAGGCCGCACGGCCGATCTCGAGGACCGTTTCTCCCGCGACCCTGGAGCCCCGACCCCGTCAAGCACCCCCTCGCCTTTCCGTGTCTCCCTGCCCCTGGCGCCCTGCACCTCAGGACGTGAGGGCCGGGGGACCGCCTCTGCGTGGAACCGCCACGGGGTTTCCCCTCCCGCGTCTGGCTCGCGTCGCTGAGCGCTGCGTGTTCCCGAGGTCCATCGGTGTCACAGCAGGTGCACAGCGTCCCTCTTGCTCGAGGCGGACTGCCAGTCCCCCGTGGGCGTGGACCACGGGGTGTAGGTCACATGCTCACACGACCGAAGTCGCAGCTTGCCTCTGATGCAGCAATACCAGTCGGGACCCCAGAGCACCGAGGCCAAGACCTCGGACAGCGGCCACGCCTGCGTGTTCCCGACAGCGTGAGTCCCGGCGGCGGAGACGTGAGAACATCCCACGTGTCCGCCGAGGATGGGCTGACGTGCAAATTCTCCGTGGTGGGAGTGAGGTCCGGGGAGCTAAGCTTGACCGCCCCACCCTGGCTGGTCCTGGGCTCTTTGCACAGGACCGGGAGCCCCATCTCGGGCCCTACAAACCGTAGGGGATGCAGACACGCTCAACCCCGATCGCGAGGCCGTGGGGATGGGTCACAGGCTCCCCTCTCTGGCCCCAGGCTTTCCAGAGCTCTGTCCCCTTCCTGCTCCCCACTATGACCCCAAGACACCCACCCTGTGCATCACCTCTGGTCCCTACTGCTGGTCCCCTGGGTCCTGCCCGGGTGTTTTTGCCTCAGTGCCTACACTCGGCCTCTCAGAAGCCTGAACAGACCCAGGAGGGGTGGGCGGCCAGCCCTGGGTCGGGGGGAGTCTCGGACCCCAGCCATGCACTCTCCCCCTACTCTCCATATACCCCTGCGTGCACACATTGCAGCAGGCATCGTACTTAGTGGGATTGCACAAATGCATGCTGCTCCGTCCCAGGCCGTGGAAGGAAGACTCCTGCGTGCCCCCAAATACGTCCACCGCCTGGTCACCACGTCCTGTACGTGGCTTTTGTTGGTTTGCAAACAGGGCATTGGGTTTGCAGATGCCGTGAGGGTGGTTCACCGGCTGACCTGGATGGAGAGAGAACTCAGGACAGGAGGGATGGTGCCCAGGATGCTTTGCACGTGGAAGAAGGGCCCCAAGCCAAGGGACACAGGCCTCCAGGCGCTGGAACAGGGCCAGGCCGCGGGCCCACACTGACCTGTCCCCTAGCTGGACCGCCCCCCGCGTTGTGCGATGGGAACGTCACATTTGTTGTTTCAATAGGAAACAACAAATCCCGCGTGCCCTCCGTGAGGCAGGAGTCTGCAGGGGCGTCGTTCCTAACACGCTAATGTTACAAACCTTCAAGGGCTTGCCCTGCATTCCGTAAGATGCATCTTCTAGATTCATCCATGAAGCAACAGGACTGA